ATGTGTGTGTGTGTGTGTGTGTGTGTGTGTGTGTGTGTGTGTGGCAGGAAAGAGGAGTTACAACCAAAAGCTCTAGATTCTAACTAAAGAATAAGTCTATCAATTTATACTGCTCAGTGTTTGTCAGGCCACAAAACTCAAGAAATATACATAGTGATTTTTCCAAGCAGGTTTCTTTAACATTTTATGCCTATAGACAGAATCTTGCCAAACTAAAGCACTCTACTATCCATATCAAGGATATACTCTGAGAACTATCAAGGAAGTGCTGTCTTCACCCTTTCTCTCACTCAAGATATCTGGACTACACTTCTTCTTACTCCTCTGGAATCCCTCTTGGGAATTCAACCCACGTCATTGTATTACAGTTTTAGCAGTTTTTCTTCTGGGAGGGATCTCTTTTCAAACATTTTGTATCTGTATGGCAGCATCAAGAGGGTTTTCAAGGATAACTGCGGAAATTAACTTCTCAGAGGGTAGTGCTGGTAACAACTCCATAACTGCAGGACCTCACAACCTTCTGCATTTTCTCCCTGGCTGCTTATAAGGAGACTGACTAGTCACCAACATTCTCTAGAAGGCAGAACCTCCAGCAACAGCTATTTCCAGATTCCTGGAAATGGGGACAGGGAGAGGGATATTTCCCTGGCCATCATTACTGTCATGTTCTAAATTGCTGAGGGTAAACAGCAGTCCTGAGCTTGGCTTTTCATTCAGAAATAAAAAGTGAGCAGCTCTTTTTCTGGCATTCAAGCAAGAACTTAAAAATTGCATCTGTGTATTTTTATATTCCCAATGAAAGTGTTTTTTCTCTACCTTGGCAACTTTAAGATGTGTGGACTTCAACTCCCAGAATTCCCCAGCCAGCCATGCTGGCTTCCCCATACTTTCCGATGCTGGCTGAGGAATTCTGGGAAATGAAGTTGCCAAGGTTGAGAAACATTGCTCTTTCGACTTTTAAACCTGTTGCCTTATATAATGTGCACAAGACCCATTTGAAACAAAGTGAGAATACTGATATATTTTAGTAATAAACTTCAAGAATCAAAATTTGCTCCATACAGCATCTCTTATCACATTTTCAAACTAATTATCCCAGAACTCAAGAAGGAGAAAGTCTTCTGCTTCCATTTTTCAAAGATTCTTTGCAACACATTGCATTGTATCTCTGACATATGCCATTTTAATTTTATTTTTCACCTTAGTCCCAGCTATAGAAAGAAATAAACTCATTATCTCAGAAGCAGAAACTCTTGCTCCAAATTTCATCCAATTCTAGCAACTGTTCTTCTAAGCAAAATGTAAACACTTCTTTTCATACTCCTGTCTTACTTGCATATTTGTCAGCTGTCATCATCTACCTAGAAGGGCTGTGCCTGCAGATATAATTTAATTATTCAGATCTCTTCAAAGGCAAAAATGTTACTGTTATTTTTTATTTTCCCATCACGGTAAATCACAAGAAGCTTCAGATTTCTGCAGGAAAATTCTAATCAATCCACTTCAAAGCCATTGTCTTGTAAGATTGCCAAGATAAGAAATGCCACCTTTTATTGATATTTTACACCATTGCCCTTCATGGATATGTGAATGATCCCTCAAATAATAATGTATTGTAAATCTGGATCAAATGGCTTCTTACTGAAATAGGTTATCCTAAATAGCAATAGCATTTGGATTTATATACCATTTCATAGTGCTTTACAGCCCTCTCTAAGTGGTTTACAGAGTCAGCCTATTGCCCCCAACAATCTGGGTTCTCATTTTACCGGCCTCGGAAGGATGGAAGGCTGAGTCAACCTTGAGTCAGTGAGGATCGAACTGCTGAACTGCTGGCAGCTGGCAGTCAGCAGAACTAGCCTACATTACTGTATTCTAACCACTGTGCCACCATGGCTCTTATGCTCCAGATATCTGTTTCAGAGGGCCCAAATGGAAGCATTTATCCTTAATGCAACGTTTTGTAGATTTGCATAGCACAAGGAATATTGTGCCTCCCGATTTAAAAAAGATTTCATTTTCCATTTTACTTTTTGCCGCGTAGTCTAAAATGAGATTATGAAAATGGAAATCTGATTAAATAACTTATATTCATATCACAGGGTATAAAGTTGAGAGAAAAAATAAACCAAGAATTTAAAAATAAGTCCATTGTTATAGTCCACCACTCGTTCTCTCTTACAGGTGGATTTCAATCACAATAAAGGAGGAAAGTTGATTATTTAGAGATGTCCTAATTAAGGCAACATTCAGCAAAAAAAAAAAAAAAAAGCTGCCTGCCTTTTTTCTTCTAGTGTCATTTTTTTCATCAAATTCTTCCTCTCATGCTTTGAGAATTTTGCAACAACCCATAATTATGACATGTCTTTA